CTTATCACCTGTATAGAGAGCTAGGTGGGGCAAGGCATAGATGAACTTTCCCCACAAGGATTACTGAAGTATCTGTACTCTATTCTACCTCCATACCTCCAGAGAACCTGTAGGTGTGAGCCAATGTGCAACCCCTATTTTCATCAAAATAATTTAATTGTTACCTTAGTATTGGATTGCAGGGTCTGCTTTGAATTCTGTGTATAATTAGCTGGAAACTAGTAAAGATCTAAAGGATCATAAGTGTTTCAAACTCCTGTAGAAACACCAACCAAGGTGAGGTGTGTTATCACATATCTCTGCTGCAAATGAGCCTTTGGATCAGATCCCTTCAATGCCATTATATATATTTCTGCATGTGACCAATTTCCTCAAAGCCCCTGACAGACTCCTCAGGAAAGCACATTAGATAGGTGTAACAGTGATCAATTTTATATAGTAGCATCAACGTGGCAAAGAACTACAGAGAACAGGAAACAAAACCTGCTGGTAAACTGGCTGCCACAGCCCAAGATCACACAAACCTCATTCAACTCCAATATTGTTATGTAGGTGTTGATAGATCTGAAATTTGGATTTAATTAATTGTCTTCTGTTGAACCATCTGTAAGGACATCCATCATTAGTTGGAAAATCATCCGCACATTTGTCTAGTAAAACTCATGACAATCCATGCAACTCATTCAAATGCCTCTGAAATACAAACATCTGGATGCTGGCAATTTTATGCGGGGTTACGTTGACAGTTTTGGAATCTGCTGAGCTGTATACAGACGTTCCAAAAAGACAAAAATATGCCAAGGGACACCTGAGGCGGGTAAGTTACCTGGCCTGGAAACACTAGAGATCTTGTCCAGTAAGTACTGAAACTCCATCCTGTATATACGTGCAGGGGGGGAAACACAGGTATAAACACGTGTTCTGTTTGCTTGGTTTAAGGTCTGAAATTCAGGGGTTTTTACAACAGATATAACACGACAATTCTTTGTGTGTAACACTGGGTGCAATACATGTAGGTGCAGTAACAAGGTGGATAAGGGATATTAAAACTGATTCCGTCATAATCCTGCAGGGTTTCTGGCTCAGCGTTCAATGGACCCGCCTTTGGACTTTTACAAAACAATATAATAATCAATTGCACAAGGGAGCGAAATTAAAACCATGTGTCTCATCTCGTAGCCATTTTCGTTTTACACCGTATTTGACTTTGCATATTTCATATTTATACTGACTAACTTTATACGGTAAAATTTGTTAATATGTTGTTGTCAATTTGTTGTTAACTTTAATCTAAGATTCGTTGCTTTCTGTGATAAGTTACTGTAACAAAGGCGAAAATATTTTTTAATTCAATCCATCAACCGTTTATTTTACATTCTTATCACTGAACTCTACTCATAAACATCGCTGGATTCACGACAGGCTATTAGATCTTCTTCCCTCCAGTTGTAAGCCGATTTATCTCTAGAACATATCGGTGCAGAAAAGGACTCACGGTAAGGTCCATGGAAGCCACCCGTTTTTGCCGATCCCCATGTTTTTGCACGCAGCGGCGATAAGCCTTATCGGTCTCCCTTGAACTTTCTCCTGACTGGCAAACATGTTTCCCGATCGTCAGCACCCAGCCGAGGTTTGCAATGTGTCTGTCCTCTTCCGCTGTTCATGCCGCTTTATACTCCCACAGATGAAACGCCCTTTGTATAAACTGGGGCGTATTGCATAACATCGCCAAGAAGGTTATATGCAAAAATGTCGTCCGTGGACCCCATATTCAAAATGATATGACACAAAATAACCACGATGAGCCGCTCTCTGTACCGTTAATAAAGTAAATATCTCCTTTTCATAAAAGACATCAAACCACACTCAGGTTGACAGCTAAGGGAGCATCATAAAAGTCCCTATAATCTAGTGCAACGTAGACGCTTTATTTTGCCAGTTTTAATTTAATAAATATCGTAAATGTATATAGTTAAGACATAACATATGTTATTAATAATGTCTGTAACGGTATAGGTGTATAACAATTACATTACCAAGAATCAGTAATGCAGCTGCATTCAGTTTACTGGAAAACAGAATTATCCAATGTCACTGTTATGTACATCATAATCAAGTGGTCATGTTCCACTGCAGTTCAAAGTTTGGGTCTTCAGCCTGAATTATAAAAACCTGGATTATAATGTATGAGGTTGATAAGGACTGTACAACAAAGTGGAGGTAATTGATAGTCATATCACAGACGAAGGCAGGAATCAGCACCAGACTCCCATAAACATCCACTTGAATTTGGCTTTTAGTGATGAACAAGGGCCTCTGTTGTTTTTGCAAAAGGCCCATTGTACCACACATCTTAACCACTCACTTTGCATGGCAGCAGCACATTTTTAAAGGCTTAATAGGCAATTCAATGGATTAAACTGTCTGGCACTCGAGCCAATATAACACCCAGCATCACAATAAATGGCTTACAAAACCAACAGCCATACGTGTGTCTCCAATCATAGTTATACTTTATGGATTCCAAAGGGAAAATGTAAATATGAACAATATACGTGGAGCCTGCAGAAAATGCTGGGGGGGTGGGCTTTGCTTTCGGGTAGCATGGTGATGCTATCTAGTCCTTTTACCTCACACCTCTGCAGACCGGGTTAGAGTCTCTGCCCTGGCTGTGTGTGTCGGGTTTCCTCCCCCACCCCACCCCACCCCACCCCGAAAAGCAAGACCAGGTAAACTGGAATTACCAAATGTCTGTCTGTCTGTCTGTGTGTGTGAGTGTGTGTGTGTGTGTGTGTGAGTGTGTGTCCACACGCCCTGCGAGGGGTTGGTGTCCCATCTTAGGTCATTCCTCGTTTTGTACCTGTAGCATCTGAGAAAGGCTGCAGAACTCTGTATAGCACAAGCGGATACAGAAAATGGGTGGAAATACATACTGTATTTACTCAGCCTGTCATTTTGCAACAACAAAATGTATCTTGTTCAGTTAATGGCAGCCTTGTATTCACTGGTTTTCTCCAGGTCACTACTGACAGTTTGAAAGTGACGTACTATGGAAAGCACTGCAGACTGAATACTAATGGACAGTGATATCGGTACCAAAGACAGGTGAACTGGGGCCACATGATCATAAAAGTTAGTTATGTCTTCTTTGTGTGGTCTTTGGCTGTGTAGGTTAGGACTTTGCCCGTAATCAGAAGGTCACCGTTTCTAATCCTGAGATTCCACTGCTGGATCCTTGAGCAAGGCCCTTAACCCAAATCTCTCCAGGCACTGGCTGATCCTACCTTCTCCATTGTACATCATTTTGAATAAAAGCATCCATTGTCCTTACGTCTAAATGGCTATATTTTCACATACACCCCCCTCCCCCCAAAAAAAGACAAACCAAAGAAGCCATTTAATAACCCATATTTTAATAAAACAAGCACAATGTGAAAGGACAAAAAGCACAAAGCGCTGCGTTACATTCCGGCAGAGTACACGGTAACAGCGATAATACTGCGCAGAGACTACGGAAGAGAGGACAGATGGACACACAAAGACTCCAAACTTCCAGTACACTGACCAAGTTTGCCATCGATCAACCGTCTGAAAATATTTCTTATCAAAAATATATCAACAGGTGTATGACTACACATAAAAAGAAATGCATACAATAGCAAATATTTACAATCCGTATGAGACCTGATTTAATCAAAGTCCTATATACACAAAGTTTGGTAATGTTTAAGTAATGTACAGTTTCAAATTTTCAAAAATAAAATAAAAAATGTTTACAGAAAGGACCACTCACTCCAGGGTAGCAAAGGCTGTTTCTCCTCTCTGAACATTAACTGACTGATTAAAAAAGAAAAAAAATAAACCATCAGAGGTCGTCTTCTACTCTACGTTGCAACATGATTCGATTTTCCAATGCCTGCAAGACAAAAAAAGAAGAAATGCAGAATTTTACAGATATTCAAGCACCAAGAGATTCCTTATACCAGTTTGTAATAAATTTAGCTATTCATACAGCTGGATATTTTACGGTTCAAACAAATGTATAATTTTTTTAAACAAAAAAGAAAAACACATTACAAATACAAATAAAAACTGTTCTCTTTCAATATTCTATCAACTAGATTAGATTAAAACAGTGGTGCATCAATAATAATAATAATAATAATTATTATTATTATTATTATTATTATTATTATTATTATTATTATTATTATAAACTAGATTAGATTAAAACAGTGCTGTATCAGACAGACACCCTTGGTCAAAGGCACAGAAACAGTTCAGGTGCCTTAATCTGGGACCTTAAGCTTAGTGCCAGGGAAATTAAAAACAGGGAAATTAAATTTAAAGTAACATAATGTACATTCTGCTGGCGGCTTATGGGCTGCTTTCAAGTCAAAAAGCGAATGAATTAAGCATTTCATTATTTTTAAATACCAGGTAGAATGTAAGAGTGACCTCAAATCTATGAGTGTACAAAGAAGAACAGAACAGTTCTGAAACAGTGGTGCTCATACCTCTGATCAGAATAAAGTCTGATAAACCACGTGGTGTAAAAACCACTCAAGTAGTTTGGAAACTGAAAATGATTAAAACGATGATCTAATGCAACACCTGTACAGTTAAGTCAGCAGCTAAACCGAGAGTTTTCCGTTTGTACCCCTGGGTATTTTTCTGAAGCTGTTCAGGATAGGTTCCTTCTTACGGGCACAGCAACCTCTGGGTGACGGATCAACATGATTACAGTTCCTGTAAAGTTCTCAGTTCCGCAGGGCCCCTACTCAGTGCCCTTGGCTGATGAGGGCTTCTTTTGGTGGGG